TGTACTTTGTTGGGTACAGAAGTTATTCTTAAAACATTAATAAAACATGAAAAGCAATAAAGTTACAGGGTTATGACTAGACCAAGTTTTTATCTTGGATACCGAGTTAGCAGCAGTCTGTTGGCTAAGCCATGTCTGAATTCAGCAATGATTTCATTCATGTATTCGACACTACTGTCATGACTGACCCTACCAATGTCACTTGATCAAAGCACTGCACGTAATCCTGCTAACGCCGCCTGTGTTTAGTGAGCATTTCTCAGTTGCAGTGTTGACTTAACCAGGTTAAGACGACTTAATCTCTCTTCTTGGGTTCCTCAACTGAGTAGATACAATTGTTAACAGTCTCCCAGTGAACTGGACTGAGATTTATGTTACATGTTTCCTTTTTAAGTGAATTATTTTTATAGTAATTCACAACGTTGGGAAACTCAAGGAGCAAGAAAACAGGAACGAGCAGGTGGTGCAAAATGAGAGCAAAAGCAGCATAACCAAATGCTTCTGTCAGTATTTTTATTGTTTTAAGCAAAACCAGCCTATATAGCAGATGGGGTTTTGTTAGGCTTGGGGTTGGGGTTTTTTTGGTTGCTGTTTTTTAATGAATAATCCAAGAAGATCTCAGCTTTTCCTGACAAATGCATTCCACACTAGTGGAATAACCTTCAAGCAATGCCACTGCTAAAAGCACTGTTATCAAAATGTTCTCAGGCACAGCAAGTACCAAAAACAAAAAGCAGCCACTAAGGAGCACAGTGCTCTGACACAGTAAGCCAAGCACAGCCCCATGGCAAGCACAGACACCTGTCAATTAACAGTTAAACAGCAATAACAGCTATAAACTTGATCTAGCACATCCCAATCAAATCTGTTGTTATCTCCAACTCTTTGAGCCTCATGCTGGGTGCCAAAAACGACTGTGGTGGTTTAACCCCAGCCAGCAACTAAGCCCCACCCAGCCAATCACTTCACTCGCCCCCTGGGTAGGATGGGGGAGAGAACTGGAAGGGTAAAAGTGAGAAAACCCATGGGTTGAGATAAAAGACAATTTAACAGGGAAAGCAAGAGTCATGCAAGTGAGCAAAACAAAATATGGAGTTCATTCACCAACTCCCGTGGGCAGGCAGGCGTTCAGCCATCCCCAGGAAAGCAGGGCTCCATCCCACCTCACAGTCACTTGGGAAGACAAACACCATCACTCCAAATGTGTCCCCCCTTCTTCCCCAGCTTTTTATATTGCTGAACACCATGTCATATGGTATGGAATCTTCCTCTGGGTTAGCTGGAGTCAGCTGTCCTGGTTGTGTCCCCTCCCAACTCCTTGAGCACCCTCAGCCCCTCACTGGGGGGGTGGGGTGAGAAGCAAAAAAAGGTCCTTGACTCTATGTAAGCTCTGCTCAGCAATAACAAAACCATCCCTGCATTATGAATATCATTATCAGCACAATTCCAAAACAGCCCCATAAGATCTACTCTGAAGAAAAGTAACTCTATCCCAGTCCAAACCAGCACACACAGGAAACTCCACGGTCCAGTACTTGAGTGGCCCGAAGAAAACACCCTGATAATCAAGGTAGTGGCAAAGAGATTCTTCCATATTTTTTCCTGTACAACCCCATGTGTGCACAACAAGAGGAAGAAAAAAGCACATTCATGTATTCCCATTCACTGTGTACATGTGGGGATGCACAGAGTCACAAACCAGACAGGTTTTCTAGAGCTAAGACTTCAACAAGTGAATTTAGAGAAATTTCTCCAGGCATAGCAACACAAGAGAGTAGGAAAAAAAAATTAAGGTAGCTTACATTCATTAATAAACATTCAATTCTCATTGCATAAGTGAGTAGTTAAGGGAAATACACACATTTTAACTGAAATCTGGAGATAGACTAGTTCTCTTTATCTCACGCTTTGAAGCTGGTTTTTCTCCAGGTTCCTATTTAGAGACAGATATTTTGCATAAGACCACTGGAAACCATCCCAGAGTATTCCTACAAAATCTGATTCTCTTTATTTCCTGACTCCAGCTAAAATCTGTTTTGAGAGGAACAGGAGCAAGAAATCTCAGGAAGTAATTTTTATGGTCTCTATCTTCAAGTCTTTAGTCTGAGTAGATTTGGACCATAGCAGCTAAAAATTTCTTGTCTACCTTACAGGGCTTTGCCTGATAATAGAGAATTAGTTTCATCTGAAGAAGGGGAACTAAGCTGAAAGGGGCCAGCAGGTGGGTGTATCCAGAGCTCCCAAACTTACATGCTAGAGCAAGAGTCATCCAACCAGTTGAATTAAAACTGTAAACAGCTGCAAACAAACTTTTGCAGATGTTACTCACGTATGCTTCACACCCATCATTTGCAAGTCAAGTAATGCCAATATTTATGTACTGTAAGTACATAATTATGTTGCTATGGAACGTAACACTCCTCCTGTAACTCAGGCTCAGGATAAAGAGGTTTAATTCACTTAAAAGCACGGCCCTGGTTAAGGCTTTACATACCCATCATAATTTGTGGCTTCTCCAACGAGGCAGTGATTTCAGTGGGTCTCCTTACACTAAAAGCAGTGTCTAGAAACACTGTTATTCACTAAGTCAATAATGCCTGTAATATTTTATTACACATATGCTCAAAGTTTCAAGAACTGGACTTTGACACTAGAGGACAATGGTCAGGTTTCAAAAGCACAAACACGGGTGAGAGTCCTGCTGACCACAAAGTGGAAAAAATAGTTGAGCTTTCTGGATCTACTGAAATTTAAAAACCCCCCACTGTTGTTTCCTGATTAACAGAGCTGTTTACTTGGCAGCTCAGTGTGATGCAAAGTGTCACACCTCGAACATCACCACCTAGCAGAAAATAATTAATAAATACTGCATCTGCTAGTTCCTACCAAAAAAAAAATGGTGCTGAGACAGTGAAGAAGTTCCAGAGACTTTTTTTTTTTTTAGATCATTTAGTTATTATGGTCAGGTTAATACTTTTAGTTCCTTTTTTTTTTCATTCCCCAAATGAAAATTCCCTTAAGATACAACTGAGATTAAGAGTCTATATCTATAGTTTAGGAAGATAATTATAGCATCTCTAATTACCATCAGAAGAAGCTTTACAAGCTTTTTTAGTAACTCCATGTAACAGCCGTATGATTAGAGAACATTAAAGTTTAAAATCTGAATCTCAATTACATCACTTTCTACTTCTAGGTCCATTATATCACTAGAGGGTCAAAAAGGCTGTTTAATTCTCACCTTTCCCACTTGAATTCAGTTTATTCCCAACTGACAGTTTTCTAGAGTTGAACTAATTTTCTCTTTTATACATTGCTGTCTTTTTCCTCCCTGTAACTTCATGATACATGCATTCGAAATTAAGTAAAACCATTTTCACATAAACTCTCAAGTATTTAAAGAACAAAAATTAAAAAAGAAACACATGAAATGCTATTATAGAATAATATTTGAAGCATGTAAATATTTAAGTGCTAAAAAAATTTCTGTATTTACCAGAACACTCACAGCTGTTTTATGCTGTTAATATACAGCAAAAAAAGGTACTGTAAATTTACACTTCCTGTACTTTTGTCTCTCTGTCTACTATAACGTGTTCTCTGATAAGAAGATGGTTTTTAAAAAATGATTATTTAAATCAGCAGAAGCTGAGTAACTCTTATCTTCAAGAAATACTATTTCAGTTCTGAAAAGACTCTCCTCACTTTTCTGACTTCAAACTCTGGAGGCAAGAGCTTCCCATTCTGCCCAGTCACAAAGCAGCAAGTGACACTTCTTGTCCAAAGAGCATCACAACTGACAGGACCTCTGGTCATGTATCCTCCCACATGAAAATATTCCCTTGCATGTTTGGAGAAATAAAACAAATCCACATTTTTAAAGAAAAAATTATGTATCCGCATAGCTGGGGAGATAATAAATCTTCTGGTCCTGGAAGACCAAAAAACTTTAGAGTGATTTAATTATTAGAATTCCTTAGGAAAAATAACAAGGAAAATAAGTAAAAAAAGACCAAACAACTAAGGACTGTTGGACTGATGAACACATTCTGAACACATGCAGAAGAGAGTTTCTATAATAACATGCCACTGCTGGGTCTTGTAGAAACTGTGGAACTCGTAGGGAAAGGAGATACACAAGTTCATTTCCCTCTTTCTCTTACTACAGCAGTTCTGGATTGCCAGGATGGTGACACAGGTACTGTCTCCAGGTAATGGGAATGAGTTATGCAAAAAGCACTGGAAATGGCTGCCCTGGACAGCCAGGTCATAAAAGCTCCATTTAATGGAGATTACATGGATCCCCCTACTGCAAACTTTCTTTTAACAGTAAACACAATTTTTGCTGAATGTACATTTTTAAAAGCCTCAAAATACTGAGTAACCAGAATAATAGGTAAGATAAACCCCACCAAACATCAGTAAAATGAATAAGCTCTTTTTACAGTACAAGAGCATGAATTCATACTCAATACTACATAGTTTGGGAATACTGGGGTGGGATCAGGGATTATCTTTTTTTAACTGAAAGAAGATCTCAATATTCTACATGCTATAAGGCAGTTGCCCTTATAAAGACTACACCCACCAATGTCCAATTTGAAGCTTCCAGAAAAGTTCAGTTCTATAATATGATAGATGTTTCTCGGGAGAGCAAAGAGAAGAGATGCAAAAAATTCCCCACAAATGCCAACAAAATAAAACACACAGCATTTACTGATGCTTTGTTTTAAAAATCATCTACATCCAATCATCACAAAAAACATCTGGGTCCAAACTCTGGTGCTGTGCAACTGCAATGCAAATCTGAAAAGAGAAACTTCCAGTAACATATCCACAAATTTTGCACTTACAGGTTTTACTTCTCCAGAAATAATATTAAAAGCCAACAAATTATCTCGAGTGTAGATATAAACTGGGACAAAAGCCTGTTACATATATAAGAAGAAACATCAATACTGAAGAGCTTGTTAAAATAAGAACTCAGTATTAGTACTCACCCGCTTCGGCCCACTAAAAATCTTCCTGGTGTTTTCCTTAGATTTATCACCTTGTTTATTTGTGGATTTCTTATTGCCTTCAAGCACACCAGATGCATCCTCTGAAAACTCCAGATCTGTTAAAGGTAAATATAGACATGAAGTAACCACGTTGAAAGCTGTTGAACTGCTAAAGCACTTCTCATATCTGACAATTCCACATGTACAGCATCTGAAATTATATCATGAACAATCAGTCTTCAGCAAAAAAATCAGCTTTAAAGCCAAGCACAGTTCTGGCTGGAGCTCAGGTTTACTGACTGGACTGTCACAGCACATAGAGGCATGACAAGGTACACAGCCACAGCCACCTCCTGCCCACTGGGGAAGCTTCAAGCTACTCCTTCCCATTCCATACTCCTGGGAATCCCAGGTTACCTTTTACATGCGCTTACTTATGGCTTACTGACTAAACTCTGAGCAGCAGGTGAATAAAACAGTAGGCTGGGTTCTTCAGAAGTATGAGATTAAGAGATTTAGGAGAACACTTCACACTACAATTACAGCACTGAAGAATTGATCCTACTTCATTTCTCACAAAGGCAACCTGTTTGTATTTGCTTATTCTGTGTTAAGCAGAAAAAACTCTGGTCATCAGCTCAGGAAGGAGTCAGCTAGAAGGGACTGCTGACATGGCCTTTCAATGCATTCAATACCTGCCTTACCAGTAATTCCAGTACTCAGTCTTGGACTGTAAATCTGCAATTCACTCATCTAATTATATTTTTCTCCTTATTTTCTCTTTAAACTTGTGTTGTATTTGAAGCTTTATCCGTTGGAGACAAGGGAAAGGGTTTACTTGGCACAAACCAAGATGGAAATCAAGACAGGCACACAGACACTGCTTCATCTGATAAACTGTTTAGCAAATGGATCTATTGCAGAGAAGCTGGTGCTATTTGAAAACTGCACTGCCAAAATCCAAGCAGGTTGGATTGGTTACTCTAATCCCAAGTGCACCCACATCCACTAAGCAGGATTGGCCAAGCACCTGTGTAAGAAGGGAAGCAAAGGCAAATCAGGCAAGCAAATTTCTAATGGCACTCTCAAGGATACATTACTTATGTCCTTCAGACAAGTTTTCTTAAAGTAAGGCCCAGAAGTTTCTGAAAAAATTCCAACAAGCCTGGCAGCACCAGGGCAGGCAGAATGCTCTACTGCAAGGCACCCACTGGAATCAGCCTCTGGCATCCCAGCCCACTGGTTTTCAGTTTAGTTGTGTGATAAGAACACATGTGAGTTGTCCCTCTGAAAATAACTGACTTTAAAATAACTGACTTTAAAACCCACTCTGAAAATAACTGACTTTTATCTTTTTTTGATAAAATTAGGGAAAATATTACAGATCAATTTTCATTAACTTACATAAAGCAAATCTGCTTCCAAATCTATATAAAAAGTCAACTTAGTCCTTGCTGGAACTTGCCAATTTAAGGAGTACAATCAAAATGCTTTGATACATATCCTTGCAAATCCTGAAATACTTCTAAAGAAGTCAGGTACTGAATTTAATTCCCAGAGGAAGCCAAACCAACAGAACTGGACCTTCCTATTGTAGATTAAAAGCTGAAAAGTAACTTGACTGCAGCAATTACAAACATGCAAGTCACTCTAGAAATGCAAGATGTGTTTCACCAAATCAGCTCAGTAATTTGTGTCCTGTGCTAAGACTTGGAGCTGGTATTGTCTTCAATAATGATTAATAGAGCTCTGGATCAAGTAAGTCACAAATTTTTAAGTCATTTTAAGTTTGTTTTTTTTGAATTCTACTCTTATTTAAGGAAACTTTTTGATAAAAACGTTTCAACTCCTACTTGCGATAGGATAATTCTGATTTTTCTGATGCTGCTAGCACATCAAACACTTACTAGCTTTGTAAGATCATCTGGAATGCTTTTATTTCAGCAGTGCTTTTGGAAGCCTTCTAGGTACCCTAAAAGCACTCTGCATACGTTATCATAGCAGACTTTCAAACCTACACTAAACAGGGTTTGGAGAAGTGTTTTGTTAACATTTACTGAGTGAGGCAAACACATGAATTATTTGGTAAGCAGTGACCCTTGTTTTCCACTAGCTCTCTCCTGTATGGGCTTTTTTTGCCCCCTCACGGAGAAGTTAGGCATATTGACCATTTTCTCCATATGGGAGCAGGTAAGGTCTTTGCTCCTCTACCCAACCATTTTCAAGGCATTTAAAATCTTCGAGATAATTTGCCTGTCTTGGCTAGAATTGGAAAGATGTTCAAAGATCAGCTAAGAAGGCAACAGCCACAGGAAATTTCCTGGGGAACAAAAACATAGTTTTGTTTTAGTGTCTCAGAGTAATTCTGCAGAAGGTTTTGAAGTCCAAACAGGACTCTGCCTTGGAGGACTTTGAAGTAGTTTTAACTGGCTTAAAATATTTACCCAATTAAGGTGATTCGGTTTTTGAGAAGATGCAAAGGAATTAAAAAAAGAATAGGGCAAGTTGGCTCAGCAGAAATGAACCCAGTGCTAGATACTGATATACAAAGTTATATTATCCAAAAGGATTACAGGAATCCCATCTTGATCACTGAAAGTAAAAATGAATGCATGACACAAAGGTTAAGCTGTATATCAGAACTGATTTACAAAGCAAAAGACTAGGCTGCAGTACAGATTTCTCCTGGATACAACTCCCCATTGATTACTACAGTCAAGTCAGGCATTTTCTTCTGGTATTAAAAGCTCCTCTTCACTGCAGTCATCCCGTGCTCTGGCTACTGAGATGACAGGGAGTGTTTCAGATCTAGGAAAGTCTCACCAGCACTTTTAGCCCCTGGCATTCTGGCAGAATACAGCTGGGAAGCTCACGAGTCAAAGGGGCTTTTGCTGCACTGGGCTGCTGCACTGACTAATGAGACAATTTTAGGTTACAAGGGCAAAATAAAAAATAAACTTAAACTAGAACTCAAAGCTTCGGGAAAAATCTAAGGCTAATAAAGTTATGAAGTATTTTCATTAAAAAGAAAAGCTTGTGAACAGCATCTAGAAATTTAAAATCTGAAGCTTTTTTTCTTTATTTTTTCCCCCTTTTTTTTTTTTGAGTTGGGGGTTTTATTTGTTTGGCTTTTTTTGAAGATTTTTAACCACTTCAGCAGGAAGCCTATCATAAAGTGAGCAACAGAAAAGACATTTCAGTGAAAGACAGTCTAACTAAAATTGAAGTTATCTATTTTGTATTTTTTCCTGCACTAACAACATTGTCCCTGTAGTCTTTGTACCTTCTTAAATTTCATTTGTAGAAACATTTAAATACGTATTGTTAAACTTACTTTCCCTCAACTGTGAACTACTAGACTGGAAGGAATAGTCCATTTCCTGTTCTATTGCAAAATCTTAATAAGATATTGTAAACTAAGATTCTGAAATATGTTTCATAAAAACAGACCAAATCAGTATTATGGCAAAGTAGGACTGAACAGAGAGCAGAGAAAGCAGCAGGTTTCTTGCAGAACTGATTATGCCGTGTAACATTCCCTATGCACGGAACACCAAAATCAGTCTTAGGAATTCCTGGGAATGAAATTCAGAGAGGCAATCTGGCATCTCACCTGTCACACTGGAACAGGAACACTGCATTTTTATCTGTGCATTTGTTCATTAGCACAAAAAAAGAACAGCACATGCAGAACTCAGGTGACATTAGCAACTCTCAGTACTGTTTGTCATTTCAGGGAAGTTTTATCATGCAAGATGTTCTGAAGGCTTTTTCTGAGGCTTGGAGTCAAAGCTGGCATTTTTCATGGACACAGAAGTCCCTTTTTTCGGTATGTAAAGATGATACCTCAGAGCAATGTCACTTCTACTGCACCTTCAGGCTTAGATCCGGAAGTCCAGAATTCTCAGACTCAGCATCACTATATTTAAGTACCTTAATATAAGGTTGTTCTGAGTGATCATGATGCTCAAAATTTGCCAAGGTCTGAGAGAAGACAGCATGAACTTTATCAAGGAGTCCTACCAATTTTAGGGCAGCATCAGACTCCCTGTTTTCAAAATCTGTACTACAGGACATCACCCTTACAAACTTCAGAAGAAAAACTGCAAGTCAAATCCCACCTGGCTACAGCAGTGCAAAAGAGGAATCAAATGAGCAAAGGAGATGCAAAATAAAGGGGAAGCATCTCTCAGCAGAGGCACTGAGAGGTAGCTCTTACCTGAGAAGTGGAGAAGTGTATTAAGAACTAACAAAACATAAATTTACATCTACCTGGGCCATGGAAATCTCTTAGGAAAATATTGCAGAGAAATAATCTATGATACCTCAGAGTATAAAGGCCTGCTTGGTAAATGTAGTGCTAAATGTAAACTGTAGATATTTTGAGACTCCTGAGGACAGCAGCTGAAAGGATTATTTGATGGGTCAGCATCTCAACTGCATTAACTGTAGAAGCAATTTTTTCCCATGGAATAAATGGCTGAACAAAGACTCATCAGAGACAGGGACTCAGAGTATTTCTTAAGTGGCCCTGTAAGTTAAGCTCATTTTCCAAAGAGGCTGGAATGTGTCTCATCAGAAGTAAAATTTATGAAAACAAATCAAGGTCTTTTTTGTTAAAAACACAATCGTTTCATAGAACATCAGTATCCATTTGTTCCTTTTCAAATCTAACAAAAACCCTAGCAGTGACATTTACCTTTGAATAAAAGGCTTACAAAAAATTCTAGTTTTAGAAACAGCTATAATTAGAACAGAGAAATGAACATTTTTTCCTTATGAAATTTTATTTCTGGATTATATTAGCAGAAGCTATTTGTAGGAAAAAAACCCTCCAACATTTGCAAGGCTAGATTTGAGTTCCCCCTCTCCCCATCACAATGAAACACATCTTGCCAAAGTCTTAAAAATGTAACCACTTCAGTGAATGGATGAAAACTTCTTATGCTTCATGCTCCAAAATGGAGGCCCAAAAAGTTCCACAGAACAGTGGCAGTGTTTTGAAATACTTACTCCAACATGCATGATTCTTTGGCATAGGACTTTTTCAAAACAAAAAACCTAAAAGCAACCTTTCACCAAAGTTATTCATTTTGTTCTTCACCAACACACCTCAACCTTGACCTGAGTCATTACTCAGCACCCAACTGACCACCAAGCAAGTCTAATTTTTCAAAGGATCTCAAACACCAGAACTTGCTCAGCAAATGCCACGTGCACAGTTTGACTCACGTATGTGTGCGAGTACAAACACACACACACAGTCTGTGCACAACAGGGAGATACCTAAAAACTGAACACAGGAGCAGAAACACATGAATATGCAGAGGCTCTCCCAAAGCCAGTTATCTCACTGGCACTCCATGGGTCCCCACGGCCTCTGCAGAGCTGTGCACCCTCAGATAAGATGGAACTCCAGAAAGGTCCCAACTGCCTACAAACACATGCAAAAGCACAAAGAGATACTTCACACCTCCTCAGAGTTACTTAAATGTCTGCACTCAGCTCCATAATTCTGGGTTGATGTGGAGCTTCTGTGGGAAGATATCTGCCTTCCAGGCATAGGCACTGTACGCTCAACACACCAATAAGGTAAGAATCTTCTGTTCAAAAAGAAAAAAAAAAACTACCTCTGGCAAGAGATCAAGGGGTATAAAGCATACTTCAAGACAGATATGAAACACCAGACAGGCCCATAGCAGAAATAAGTGAATTTAACTGTTAGATTTCCAAATAGTGCTATTGCTCAACCAACTCCTAAGTACACTGCAAACAGAACAAAACATTAAGGTCAATTAAAATTAAATGTTAAATATGTATTCCAGAAGAGTTCTACTTACCTGCATTAGTACTGAGCTGGCTGTCCTGGGAACAGTTTTCATTGCCCTCAGAGGTTGACTGTAGTGAAGAAGATGGTACAGTTCTACTTCGTTTTTTGTTAGCCTTCCTTTCTGCTACCTGCCACTCTTCATCTTCGTCCTCGCTTTCACTTAAGTCATCAAACCCAAAGTACTTGATTTTGTAATTGGAACTCCCAGAACTTCTAGAGGCGCCTTCATCTCCCCCTCCCTCGTCTTGATCATCAAACCCAAAAAACTCTAATTTGACATCCTTTTTGGATTTGGTATTGCTGGGTCGGAACCTGGTCGTGGTTTTTGTGGTGGCCATGTCTGCTTTTTTCCTCAAGCGTCCAGCTTCTCCCAGGTCAGTCGGGGCTGCCGTGGTGAACTCGTCGATGCGCTCCATGGTATCCTGGATGGTAACGTTACAAACTGACAAGCAAGATGGATGGAGAACAGTGTAGTCTCTAGTCCGTCCCACCGTCCCTCTAAAACTGGTCCCACTACTCAAAGAAACTTTTTTTCCTGGGTTCAGACCATCGTTATTTGACTCATTGTTTGCTTTGGATAAAGACTGACTAGCGCCATCCATCAGCTTGTCAAAATTCGTTGCCCCCTGCAGTTTTGCTTTGTTGGATCGACAATATGTCCTACAGTTGCTTGGCCTAGGAATAGTTTGCACAAGTTCTTCACTAATGGCTTCCTTTGGATTTTCACTGTCTTCTTTATCACCCTCCTCATCCTTGCTCTTCATCTCTGAGAGATGTTCATTGTCAAAAGCTAATATATACTCTCCAGTTCTGGTGTCTTCGCTTTCATCCTCCCAGTCGTACAAGTGAGTTCTTAATGGCCCCTTGGTCTGAGATGTTTCTGATGGAGAGTCTGCTGTTTTCCCCAGGTGGGAGTCCCAAGAATCAGTCAAGTCCTTGGCTTCAATGTTGCATCCAGAAGGGTCTGTAGTCTCAGCATTGGTTTTGTTACTGTCTTCGGCATTCCCATAGATAAAATGACTGTTCTCATTATCTTCATTCAAATTCTGGATTTTATCTACAAGAAAAGATAAACTTATCACTAAAACGCAATTGCAAAAAATAGTCACTTGTGGGCAACTTTGAAAAAGTCACAATATAACAACAAATATTCAGTGATCAATGACAAAAAAACATTAAAAAGGTTTTTATCCATCTGGTTTATACTTTTTAAGCCCTCCAGTTGAAAGTTTTTATTATAATAAAGTCTTCTCATAATTTCTAGCAAATAAATCCTCTAAACAAGTGTCACTTTGAGAACATGCACATCATGAAAAAGACAGCAGTAAACCCTAAATATAACCACTTATCTTCCTAGACAAACCACACAAAAAAAGAACGTCTGCAGTGAAACTTTCAAAGAAGATTATTACCAATGTTTCACACACAAGTGATTTACAGGGAATAATTAGAGATAAAGAACAACTGCAATGCATTTTTTCATTACGTTAGAAAATAATTTCCTTCCTGCACACAGGTTATAAGACTGTTTTATTTCATTCTTATGTGAACATACTCCCCCAAAATCCTTATTTACAACAAATTATTTCAACTACACTTGTGTTTCAAATGAAAGTTTCACAATACATAGATTTTAGTGTCTGATTTGCTTCAGACGAACTGTAAGTGCTTTTAACTTTTACGTAGAACTTGAAAAAACAGGTACTGTCATTAGAAACACAAAACATCCATGAATCAATGACTTAGCTACGTTTGCATATTCACACAAACTCTGAAATGCAGGTTCTTAAAATCAATTTCTGCTTCTCTGAAGAAAAGCTGCTGCCAAAAATTAGTCTTCTCCAACCTTACACTGTCCAAGCGAGCAAATTCCTCTGTAAGAAGTCAGTTTGTGTACACTGTTTCCAGCCAACCAGCATCCACACAACAGTAATGCCGGTACTAAGTCTTTCACCTGTTGTCCCCCTAAACTGGTAGGGAAACCATTCCCTTTGTTTTCCCAGAATACCAACAAAAGCTCAGTGGATTTGGTGACAGTTTCATGATGACTGCACCTGCCCTGCTCTGCTGTTGACCTCACACACACACTAAACAATACAAGTGTGTTATTTTCCAGAAACAAGGATTTCTTGGGAATTTGTGAGACAGTCTCACCAGACACCAGCACCAAGGTGTCTGCCCTTTCCAACCCTCCTGATGAGGGAAGTGAGCATCAGCACCAGCCCAGGGACTTTTGCTCATTTGTTCTCAAACTAAAACAGCATCATCTCCAAGCCCTCTTTGCAAATACGGTTCATGGAAGAACTTTAGGGTACAAGTTGAAAATTCCAGGAAAAGAAATGACTACCAAATCCAGTTTTGCAGGATATTGGTTCAATCCTAGACAAAATTCCTCGGGGAGCCAGGACAAGTAGTATTTCACAAATGGCATCTAAGTTTCCTGAGAATTCAGCTGAGGTCTCTCACAGAAGAACACATACTCAGCTAGAAATAAAAAAAGCTCTTCACAGAATATATGAAATGCAAAACTACATTTCTTAAAGAGCAAGGAAACCTATCCCTGTCATCTCAGTGATGGAATCTTGGTTAGCCTTTTTCAGTATCAACACGTTATACAAGAAATCTTATTATTCCCATTTCAATCTGATACTTGTGATAATTGAAGAGGCCCAACCAAAATGAATTTCTTTATCAAGCAGTGAGTTTGACAGTGTACCTCTTCCCCCATCTGTTTAATGTTATTGTGCAGCTGAAGACTACCACAACACTTACGCATGAAAAACAGCAAATTCAATTAAAATAATTTTCAGAACTTTCTGTTCCATATCTGAGTGCATATTTACTTCAGTTAATAATGTCTAAGCAACACTAAGTACATTTAAAATATGGCTGCCTTGGCTCACTAAACAATACTGAATTGTTAGGAAGAAGTGTCAGTATGTGCATCTGGGAAAGGAATAGTTTTCCCATCCTAAGAAAGTCTAGGATCATAAAAGAGCTGCATTTCATACCAGGACCAAAACAAATCTCATCTTCCCAGGAAAGGAATAGATTATACATGTATGTATGTGCATTACAACAACCCAAGGGTCAAACAATTCAGGAATCTGTTTTGAGATGAAAAAACCTGAAGTTTTATTTTACGTTGTCTTCAGTTGAATCATTATGATCTCAGGTGCAGTCTGTACTCTCAAGCAGGAAACATGATCAACACATCGAGTCTGGAAAACTGACTGAAGAAGCTGATACACATCAATAGCATTGATAAAAAATTAATGGAAAAAATTATCAAGGAATCTGCTTCCAAAGAAATGCTAATCAATTATTCTGAAAAAGTTTAGCCTATTGGGTTTTTTACACTGCTACTAGCAGATCACAAAAATCATGATTACTCTACAATACATAATTTCACATATGTTCTCTTAAAATTCCAGGGTTTTTATCTTGCAAAAAGCAAAGATATTCAGGGAGTGCATATTTAACTCTTTCACTTAAGATCAGTTCATCTAAAACACTCCCTAAATTCTTCTGTCTGTTCACCAGCTCTCACACAGTCTTCAGCAGTTGAAGCCACTTTGTTTCTGCAGTCCCTTGCCAGGAAGTTACTCTGTCAGTAGCCAAGGGCTAAAGCCATCATCTACTAGGTCATTGCAAGAAAGAGGATTCTTATGACATTTATATCAACTAATATGATGCTTTTATTTTAAAAAGTTTTTTCAAGATGCATTGGATATTTCACCAAGTAATCATAAAGTCAAACAGATAATCTTTTCATTAAGAGTGAATTTTAGTTAATTTTGATCATGTAGTTACATACACACAAAAACTACTGCACAAGTTGTTCTAGAACAATTTAAAATTAGCCCAGTATTTGTAGGAAAAGCAACAAGGCAAGCAACACAACCCCATCTAGTCGTCTGTGACCTATTAAGGGAGCAAAAAATTCTACTCTTATTGCAGCAGCCTCATTTGGACAAACTGAAGCCTCAGTTAAGAGGTGCATCATGACAAGAACAATCCCACTTCCCATCTATTTTCTTCGCTTCGATTTTTTTTGTACTTGCTGTACTGAGGTTGTTCCATTTTTCTTCCCAGAGTGGCTCCTATTCTCATCTCCAATTTCACACCTGCCCAACCCACCTTGCCCTTCTTCTCATGCTTGTTCCCAACAACCCAAAAACAAAACCAAGGAACCTGAGCCAGCTGTTCATTCCTCAGTGCCAGTCTCCACCAGCTCTGTGAAAACCACCAAAAATGCAGAGGCACTTCAAGGCATTAGTACACCTGAAGATGAATAAAATCTCATCAGACTGGGTTAAGGCAGTAGCACCACACATCTAAGCTCTTCCAGCCTGGAATTCTTTGTTTCTCTTCATCTGTAAACGTGAGATCACTTTCTCAAGTCAGCTCAGTTGACTAATAACTAACAAATCCATTCTCTTCCAGTCAAATGGCCTTATTGATGCTTGGTTTACTACACTCCCGAGGAATGATGTGAAGAGGCAAACACCACTAACAACTCTTTGTGTACTCAGCAGGACTCCTGATGCCTTTGTATAAGCCACACAACATTCTGAGGATGTGCAGGAGCAACCTGGAACCCTGAGTTGTCTGAGAAGACTCCACAAGCACCAACGAAGTGTTGCATCTCATTTTTCACTTTCAGTTAGTAATTTAATACAGCAGACCAGGTTACTCTTAAACAGCAAATAAGTGGCAGTTAACCTCCCCCTTCATCGTGAGGCATCAAAATTTTAAAAACACACAGTACTTCACAAGTCTTACTAACTGCACCAGGGAGATTTTTCCATCTCCCATAATAAGCAAGGCTGATGGAAAACGTAACTACTAAAGTGTTTAGTGCACACCAGGTAGAAACTTTGGCTTTAAAACTGGATCATCATGATGCATTAGTGGCAAACTAAGCAGTGACATTTAGAGGAATACTTCCTCAAAGGATATTTTGTCAAGCCACTGTTCTCATCTCATCAGTGGGTCAATAGCTGTCAGACTGAAGCTTCTACACTAGAAATTACTGCAAATTACTTGCTAATTGCCCAAAGGTGTACAATAACAGCAATTCCAATAGCCTTGATTTTAAAAATTACAGCATTTACTAATAGTAACTACTGCAGCAGAAGCTAGCATGACTGTAGGAAGCATATGAAAAAATGAACTAATGGTGAATTATTAGATGTTCTGTAGTCCAAGAGAGGCATGTAACTTCTCCTCCCATTTTTAACTGCAATTAGGCTCTTTTGGGGCTCAAATAACAGAAGGAGTCTCCCAAGTAATTTCAATTCAGTGACAGCACACAACTTTCCCTCTACCCTGCCCAGGTACAAGCCCAATATCCCCAGGACCCATAACAATGTTCTGTGGTAATCATGATTTGTTTTCTGTTTAAATCTCTAAAACTTAATTACCAGAGTATAAGAAAACCAATCCAAAGGACTGACAGGTCTAAATGGAACACAAACTGATAAACACTCCCATACCTCTTGCTTGATTTTATGCTCTAGTTTATGTCACCCAACAAGACAGAGATGTCTTTAGTATTGCTGATGAATTAAAAGAAAAAAACCAAACAAGTGAAACTTCTACCTCTTCCCACCAAATACAAGATGTTTTCACACACACAAAGATGCATATTACCAAACTTGTAAAGCTATATTTATGTGATTATGATGACTACTGTTCCAAGTAACCTTTATAAAATGACCACTAGAGACAAAATCTCAAGTCCAGACAAGGCAAGACATTTGATTCATTCAAGATAACAGACTTTATGCTCCTCTACATATATGAAAACATTCAAACAGCAGGAATGTAATATAGTTGTCAAAATCCCACTGCTTTTTCAGTAATAAACCTTTAAACATTTGAAAAATATTCATCTAGACCTGTATTAATTAGACTAGATGGATAGAACTTTTTTTAAAAAATAGATACTTAATATAAGCACTCACTTTAGATGGAACAAATGCTATTCTATACATCCAACAAAAACAGTAAATGCCTTGTGACTACCACAGTGGTACTACCTCCTTCCTGTTC